TCATGACCTCGGACCTCTTACAAAACAATCGGTGTTTAATTATGTGGTGCAAAGTTTATGTATTTTAAATGTCCACCTCATGGCAAAGGGTATAAAAATATCATTTTATTTGTATATATTTGTGTTTTATACACATCTAAATATTGAATTTATTTATTTGCATATTTCATTTATTTTCTAGCAAAAGAGGCTGAACTATTGGAAGCTCGAAATTTTTGTAGCATTCGTGGGGACTATGCAGAAAGAGTTTATAGAATTTTAAAACCAAGATGTTCCAATAGTCCCAGTGATTTGACACTGAAAGAAGTACATGATATGCTGGATAGTGTGGCAAGTGAAAATTTGTTGAGTGAGTTTTCTGAATTCGAACCTTAATATTTAAACCCTTATAATATGAATACCTAATACCTTTTTATTTGTCTTACAGATACCGAAAATGTCTTGACAAAACTTTCACAAGTTGCCTCAGCCGAAGAACAAATGTGGTTTGTTCGCTTGCTACTCAAATCCATGCAGCTATCAATAGCCGAACAACGTATTTTTGATTTGCTACATGAACAGGCTAAAGCTATGTATCAAGCTTGTGCAAATTTATCAAAATTATGTTGTCATTTGGCTGATAATAAATTCACATTAGTTAATGGCAATTTACCACAATTGGGAAATGGTCCGGCGCCATTGGTTGTAGACATAACACCATTTGAACACATACGACCTCAATTGTGTGAAGTGTTTCCCGGGAATATGGAACACATTATGGCATCCGATGTCCTTTACATGGAAACTAAAATGGATGGTGAACGTTTTCAGTTGCATTACAATGAAGGTCGCTTTAAATATATTTCCCGCAACGGTATCGATTATACAAATAGCTTTGGTTCCAGCTATGATGATGACAATAAATTGACAATGAAACTAAAGCATTTGTTACCAATCGATATGCAATCGATCATCTTGGATGGTGAAATGATGATATGGGATAGATTAAATCAAAAATATCGTGAAAAGGGTGAAAATACCGATGTAAAACATTTAAAAGAAGATCGCAATTGGCAGCCATGCTTTGTGGTGTATGATTTGTTATATTGGAATGGACAGAATCTGTTGGGTATACCATATATCCAGCGTATGTATAAATTGCGTAATTTGCTAAGGGAACAGGAAGGTGTATTGCAGCTGATGAAAAGTGAAAAAATTCTAAGTGTTGAAGATTTTCGTGCGAAATTTCAACAAGCCTTGGATCAACATGCTGAAGGTGTGGTTTTGAAGAAACAGAATGCAGTATATCGTCCGGGGTGTCGCAATGGCGGCGGGTGGTATAAGGTGAAAGCGGATGTAAGTAGACAGTTTAATTTTATCATCAGTAGCTCTGATAGTCTGTGAAGAAATATTCTTTAAAAATCCACGCCTCAGTAGCTGATGGTCTGTGAAGAAATATTCTTTAAAAATCGACGCCTCAGTAGCTGATGGTCTGTGAAGAAGTATTCTTTAAAAATCCACTCCTCAGTAGCTGATGGACTGTGAAGAAATATTCTTTAAAAATCCACGCCTCAGTAGCTGATGGTCTGTGAAGAAATATTCTTTAAAAATCCACGCCTCAGTAGCTGATGGTCTGTGAAGAAATATTCTTTAAAAATCGACGCCTCAGTAGCTGATGGTCTGTGAAGAAGTATTCTTTAAAAATCCACTCCTCAGTAGCTGATGGACTGTGAAGAAATATTCTTTAAAAATCCACGCCTCAGTAGCTGATGGTCTGTGAAGAAATATTCTTTAAAAATCCACGCCTCAGTAGCTGATGGTCTGTGAAGAAATATTCTTTAAAATCCACGCCTCAGTAGCTGATTGTCTCTCAACAAATATCCCATTTTTCTTTTGATCTACTAATTTTTTTGAATTTATTTCTTTCCAGTACATTGACGGCTTAACAACGGAATTCGATCTGTTGGTAATTGGTGGCTTCTATAATCGTTCCCGAACCTTTGTCGAATCATTTCTGGTGGGAGTGCTAAAATATATTTCCCATCAGCAATTCGAAGTATATTCGGTGGGCAAAGTTAGCAATTGTACACAGCAACGTGTTCTACTCAATAATACCCTGAAGAGTCATTGGCATTTGCTGTCACAGGAACAACCACCAATATGGTATCATTATCGTCATACAAGTGCTGAGGGCCGGCCAGATGTTTGGATTGAACCGAGAAATTCGGTAATTCTACAAATAAAGGCTACCGATTTAAATCCATCCGGAGCCTTTGCCCTGAATATGTGTTTGCATTTTCCCCGAATTCAGATGTGGCGTAATGATAAGGCATGGCATGAATGTCTTTCTCTCGAAGAGTATCAACAGCTAAAATCAAATTCCAATGGTGGAGGTGGTATAAAGAAAATTGTTAAGAGGAATGTTAGCCTGGAAGATTTTATTGGTAATCAAAGTAAGAGGAGAAAGATGACACCAGCAGAGAAAAGGAAATTGGGTTTGCTTACCTATGAGAAGCAGTTCGATCCGAGTAATGTAAGTTGATACATAAAAAATATTAAAATTATTTTTATTTTAAGTTTTAATTATAATTTCAGGTTGAAAAGACTTCTCAACTGTTTGAAGGTTTCAGTGTTTGTATATTAAGTGCCGCCCTGAACAGACGTTACACCGCACAATACCTCAAATCGTTGGTAGTTCAAAATGGTGGCACAATTGTGGAAAATCCTTTACCCAATAATCCCAGTTGCATTGTTGTGGCCGGTGATATTTCGATACGTGTCCAAGCCCTCTGTAAATCACAAAAATATGACATAGTCAGCATGGATTGGTTGTTGCGGGCATGTGAAAAACAACGCATAAAGATTACACCATTAGATTTTATTTGTACCACCGCCGAAGTTAAAGAGAAATTTGCCGAAGTGTTCGATAAATATGGTGATCACTATACGGAATTTGTTCGATCAAAACATTTGAAGCGTATATGTGATGCCATGATTGTCGATGATGTACCTGATTTAGATGACGAAGCTTTAAATGAGCTGGAGAATTTAATATACCCGTTGAAGAACATTAATTTCTTTCGTAATAAAAATGCCTATTTTTATAGTATAGAGCCAGATTCCATACATGCCCGATTGAATTTTCAATGGCATGGTGGTAATGTTATTGATGATCGTAATTTAGAAGAAGCCGAATTGAATCCTGATGAAATTTTATCGAAAATATCTTATATATTTATAAATCTTTTACAATTTGATAAAGGAGAATTTTTGCCATGGTTACATGAAAGATTTAGTGCCCAGCATTTGAGCCATATACAAATTGTTAGCATTCGTTGGATTTTAGATTCGCACAAGGCAAGAATGTTGCATGATATTAAGGAATATACATGGCATGATTTTGATTAATGTAGGGAGTTATTTCATATTACTAGGTTTATTCATATTTTGACAATAATTATATATACATTTATACATAATTTGTTATAAATCTTCTTGACGATTTTTTATAAGATTTATTTGTTGTATTTTTCAATTATTATATACTATAGATTTAAATGTTTGTGAGTGTCTTTTAATATATAAAAATAAATAATGTAAAACACTATGTATAAGATTTTTTATTGAGAGGGTAAATTATAAGTTCGGTGTCTGAACATTCAAATATTACCCTTTAAAAATCCACGCCTATGAAGCTGATGGTCCATAAAGAAATATTCTTTTAAAAGTCCACGCCTATGAAGCTGATGGTCTGTGAAGAAATATTCTTTAATAAAAAAACCCACGCCTCTGTAGCTGATGGTCTGTGAAGAAATATTCTTTAATAAAAAAACCCACGCCTCTGTAGCTGATGGTCTGTGAAGAAATATTCTTTAATAAAAAACCCACGCCTCTGTAGCTGGTGGTCTGTGAAGAAATATTCTTTAATAAAAAACCCACGCCTCTGTAGCTGATGGTCTGTGAAGAAATATTCTTTAAAAATCCACGCCTATGAAGCTGATGGTCTGTGAAGAAATATTCTTTAAAAATCCACGCCTATGAAGCTGATGGTCTGTGAAGAAATATTCTTTAAAAATCCATACCTATGAAGGTGATGGTCTGTGAAGAAATATTCTTTAAAAATCCACGCCTATGAAGCTCATGGTCTGTGAAGAAATATTCTTTAAAAATCCATACCTATGAAGGTGATGGTCTGTGAAGAAATATTCTTTAAAAATCCACGCCTATGAAGCTGATGGTCTGTGAAGAAATATTCTTTAAAAATCCACGCCTATGAAGGTGATGGTCTGTGAAGAAATATTCTTTAAAAATCCACGCCTATGAAGCTGATGGTCTATGAAGAAATATTCTTTAAAAATCCACGCCTATGAAGCTGATGGTCTATGAAGAAATATTCTTTAAAAATCCACGCCTATGAAGGTGATGGTCTGTGAAGAAATATTCTTTAAAAATCCACGCCTATGACGGTGATGGTCTGTGAAGAAATATTCTTTAAAAATCCATACCTATGAAGGTGATGGTCTGTGAAGAAGTATTCTTTAAAAATCCACGCCTATGAAGCTGATGGTCTGTGAAGAAATATTCTTTAAAAATCCACGCCTATGAAGCTGATGGTCTGTGAAGAAATATTCTTTAAAAATCCACGCCTATGAAGATGATGGTCTGTGAAGAAATATTCTTTAAAAATGCACGCCTATGACGGTGATGGTCTGTGAAGAAATATTCTTTAAAAATCCACGCCTATGAAGCTGATGGTCTGTGAAGAAATATTCTTTAAAAATCCACGCCTATGAAGCTGATGGTCTGTGAAGAAATATTCTTTAAAAATCCACGCCTATGACGGTGATGGTCTGTGAAGAAATATTCTTTAAAAATCCACGCCTATGAAGCTGATGGTCTCTCAAGAAGTAACCTTTAAAAATCCAAGTTTTTTCTTTGCAAATTATTTATTTACATATATACATATTTACATAGCATTATTATGTATGTACATCAAAAAAATTTAAATATGTACCGAACAATTAATAGCTCATCAAACTGTCAACTTCGTTATTGTGGATTTTAATTTTCTCCGCAAATGCCGAGGTCTCATTGTTAACCAATTGTTCTCCATTTAGCTGGGACGTTACAATCGACTGTTGGGTCTCCTGGGTGAGTTTTGCGATTTCATTCTTTGCCTCCATAGCCAATGCATTAATGTCATCACCAATATCCGCCACCACGGCCATTAAATAGGGTTTCTTTTTCAAATAATCATCGAGGGATTTTTTGAAATTTTCAAATACTTCATCAGATGATTTTTCCCAATTAACGAATTGCTGATCGGTGTCATTTCTCGATTCGATTAATTGCGTTTGAATATTCTGTTGAGTTTCACTAAAATCGGCAGCTAATTTGGAATTCTTTTCATTGGCCGCATAACGTTTGGTTTGTACATCATTATGGCACTGGGTGGTCTTGTAGTGTTCCTCACAAATAAATCCATAATAGTTTTCATCACATTTTTCATCGTTCCATTTGAAATCGGCTTTAACACTTATTTCGGTACAGTGCTCGTTGCCTTTGTAATTGTTGGGTTCACCTTTATTCCAATTGCTGTAGGCAATGGGTGAGCCAGTGGCTACGGAGTACCATGTACGAGTTTTATCTTTCTTGGAGTTGAATTCGTCGTGGTGGCCGATCCACAAGTCTCGAGATTTTCCTTTTTGGAATAAATAATAATTCAAAATACTTTTATTATTTTTCAGCAATTTTATATATCGGCTGGATCTTACCAAAATGAATTTTAATTAAATCAATTATGGCATTATTTTTCACTTCATTATCGATCATCACCAATTGCAAGCCACGTCGTGAACATTGATCCATGGCCTGGAACCATGTGTACTAAAAATAAATATAAAAAATATTGCTTCAATCACTGGCTTTGCAAAAAAAAAATTTAGAATCCTTACACTGGCCGATCCTTCAATTAAATAATTACGTCCATCACTGCCCGTATACCAATCGGCAGCTGCTGCCAATTGCAGAAATACAACGGCAAAAATTGCGAAACCAACTACAAATTTCCCAGCCATCCGGTTTAGTTAAAAGTTGTCTTGAAACTATTCACAAATAATTTGAAAATTCTCATATTTATATTAATATTGAAATCTAACTATAAAATTTTAACGAGGAATATCTCCGTTTTTTATTGGCCAATCTAAATCAGATATTATGGCTTCTTTTGGTAAATAGATAATACCCGCAAATATTTGTATTACTTTCTATAATGAAATTGGGGGAAAATAAATTTCGGTTCTTTTATATCATATCTATGACAATTTATGTGTGTCGTTAAATAATAATTACCGATTATCATGCGAATGGGTGAATCTTCCGATAACGAATATATAACCACGTACCACAAAGTGATTCATTGAAGAATGTTCTATTTATTTGGGGGGAAATTAAACAAGTCATTGTAAACGTCACATTTCACTTCCGATATTTAAGAAGTCCAAAGTCATAATGGAACTGACCAATAGGGGAAGTACGTTTTTATTGGCTTTTACAGATCTGATAATCTTACAAATTTTTACAGAATATTTCATTACTTGCTATCAGCTTCATAGGCGTGGATTTTTAAAGAATATTTCTTCACAGACCATCAGCTTCATAGGCGTGGATTTTTAAAGAATACTTCTTCACATATCATCAGCTTCATAGGCGTGGATTTTTTAAATTATATTTCTTCACAGACCATCTGCTTCATAGGCGTGGATTTTTAAAGAATATTTCTTCACAGATCATCAGCTTCATAGGCGTGGATTTTTAAAGAATATTTCTTCACAGACCATCAGCTTCATAGGCGTGGATTTTTAAAGAATATTTCTTCACAGACCATCAGCTTCATAGGCGTGGATTTTTAAAGAATATTTCTTCACAGACCATCAGCTTCATAGGCGTGGATTTTTAAAGAATATTTCTTCACAGACCATCAGCTTCATAGGCGTGGATTTTTAAAGAATATTTCTTCACAGACCATCAGCTTCATAGGCGTGGATTTTTAAAGAATATTTCTTCACAGACCATCAGCTTCATAGGCGTGGATTTTTAAAGAATATTTCTTCACAGACCAACAGCTTCATAGGCGTGGATTTTTAAAGAATATTTCTTCACAGACCATCAGCTTCATAGGCGTGGATTTTTAAAGAATATTTCTTCACAGACCATCAGCTTCATAGGCGTGGATTTTTAAAGAATATTTCTTCGCAGACCATCAGCTTCATAGGCGTGGATTTTTAAAGAATATTTCTTCACAGACCATCAGCTTCATAGGCGTGGATTTTTAAAGAATATTTCTTCACAGACCATCAGCTTCATAGGCGTGGATTTTTAAAGAATATTTCTTCACAGACCATCAGCTTCATAGGCGTGGATTTTTAAAGAATATTTCTTCACAGACCATCAGCTTCATAGGCGTGGATTTTTAAAGAATATTTCTTCGCAGACCATCAGCTTCATAGGCGTGGATTTTTAAAGAATATTTCTTCACAGACCATCAGCTACTGAGGCGTGGATTTTTAAAGAATATTTCTTCACAGACCATCAGCTACTGAGGCGTGGATTTTTAAAGAATATTTCTTCACAGACCATCAGCTACTGAGGCGTGGATTTTTAAAGAATATTTCTTCACAGACCATCAGCTACTGAGGCGTGGATTTTTAAAGAATATTTCTTCACAGACCATCAGCTTCATAGGCGTGGATTTTTAAAGAATATTTCTTCACAGACCATCAGCTTCATAGGCGTGGATTTTTAAAGAATATTTCTTCACAGACCATCAGCTTCATAGGCGTGGATTTTTAAAGAATATTTCTTCACAGACCATCAGCTTCATAGGCGTGGATTTTTAAAGAATATTTCTTCACAGACCATCAGCTTCATAGGCGTGGATTTTTAAAGAATATTTCTTCACAGACCATCAGCTTCATAGGCGTGGATTTTTAAAGAATATTTCTTCACAGACCATCAGCTTCATAGGCGTGGATTTTTAAAGAATATTTCTTCACAGACCATCAGCTTCATAGGCGTGGATTTTTAAAGAATATTTCTTCACAGACCATCAGCTTCATAGGCGTGGATTTTTAAAGAATATTTCTTCACAGACCATCAGCTTCATAGGCGTGGATTTTTAAAGAATATTTCTTCACAGACCATCAGCTTCATAGGCGTGGATTTTTAAAGAATATTTCTTCACAGACCATCAGCTTCATAGGCGTGGATTTTTAAAGAATATTTCTTCACAGACCATCAGCTTCATAGGCGTGGATTTTTAAAGAATATTTCTTCACAGACCATCAGCTTCATAGGCGTGGATTTTTAAAGAATATTTCTTCACAGACCATCAGCTTCATAGGCGTGGATTTTTAAAGAATATTTCTTCACAGACCATCAGCTTCATAGGCGTGGATTTTTAAAGAATATTTCTTCACAGACCATCAGCTTCATAGGCGTGGATTTTTAAAGAATATTTCTTCACAGACCATCAGCTTCATAGGCGTGGATTTTTAAAGAATATTTCTTCACAGACCATCAGCTTCATAGGCGTGGATTTTTAAAGAATATTTCTTCACAGACCATCAGCTTCATAGGCGTGGATTTTTAAAGAATATTTCTTCACAGACCATCAGCTTCATAGGCGTGGATTTTTAAAGAATATTTCTTCACAGACCATCAGCTTCATAGGCGTGGATTTTTAAAGAATATTTCTTCACAGACCATCAGCTTCATAGGCGTGGATTTTTAAAGAATATTTCTTCACAGACCATCAGCTTCATAGGCGTGGATTTTTAAAGAATATTTCTTCACAGACCATCAGCTTCATAGGCGTGGATTTTTAAAGAATATTTCTTCACAGACCATCAGCTTCATAGGCGTGGATTTTTAAAGAATATTTCTTCACAGACCATCAGCTTCATAGGCGTGGATTTTTAAAGAATATTTCTTCACAGACCATCAGCTTCATAGGCGTGGATTTTTAAAGAATATTTCTTCACAGACCATCAGCTTCATAGGCGTGGATTTTTAAAGAATATTTCTTCACAGACCATCAGCTTCATAGGCGTGGATTTTTAAAGAATATTTCTTCACAGACCATCAGCTTCATAGGCGTGGATTTTTAAAGAATATTTCTTCACAGACCATCAGCTTCATAGGCGTGGATTTTTAAAGAATATTTCTTCACAGACCATCAGCTTCATAGGCGTGGATTTTTAAAGAATATTTCTTCACAGACCATCAGCTTCATAGGCGTGGATTTTTAAAGAATATTTCTTCACAGACCATCAGCTTCATAGGCGTGGATTTTTAAAGAATATTTCTTCACAGACCATCAGCTTCATAGGCGTGGATTTTTAAAGAATATTTCTTCACAGACCATCAGCTTCATAGGCGTGGATTTTTAAAGAATATTTCTTCACAGACCATCAGCTTCATAGGCGTGGATTTTTAAAGAATATTTCTTCACAGACCATCAGCTTCATAGGCGTGGATTTTTAAAGAATATTTCTTCACAGACCATCAGCTTCATAGGCGTGGATTTTTAAAGAATATTTCTTCAAGGTCTATCAGACCACTAGGCGTGGATTTTTAAAGAATATTTCTTCAAGGTCTATCAGACCACTAGGCGTGGATTTTTAAAGAATATTTCTTCAAGGTCTATCAGACCACTAGGCGTGGATTTTTAAAGAATATTTCTTCACAGACCATCAGCTTCATAGGCGTGGGTTTTTAAAGAATATTTCTTCACAGACCATCAGCTTCATAGGCGTGGATTTTTAAAGAATATTTCTTCACAGACCATCAGCTTCATAGGCGTGGATTTTTAAAGAATATTTCTTCACAGACCATCAGCTTCATAGGCGTGGATTTTTAAAGAATATTTCTTCACAGACCATCAGCTTCATAGGCGTGGATTTTTAAAGATATTTCTTCACAGACCATCAGCTTCATAGGCGTGGATTTTTAAAGAATATTTCTTCACAGACCATCAGCTTCATAGGCGTGGATTTTTAAAGAATATTTCTTCACAGACCATCAGCTTCATAGGCGTGGATTTTTAAAGAATATTTCTTCACAGACCATCAGCTTCATAGGCGTGGATTTTTAAAGAATATTTCTTCACAGACCATCAGCTTCATAGGCGTGGATTTTTAAAGAATATTTCTTCACAGACCATCAGCTTCATAGGCGTGGATTTTTAAAGAATATTTCTTCACAGACCATCAGCTTCATAGGCGTGGATTTTTAAAGAATATTTCTTCACAGACCATCAGCTTCATAGGCGTGGATTTTTAAAGAATATTTCTTCACAGACCATCAGCTTCATAGGCGTGGATTTTTAAAGAATATTTCTTCACAGACCATCAGCTTCATAGGCGTGGATTTTTAAAGAATATTTCTTCACAGACCATCAGCTTCATAGGCGTGGATTTTTAAAGAATATTTCTTCACAGACCATCAGCTTCATAGGCGTGGATTTTTAAAGAATATTTCTTCACAGACCATCAGCTTCATAGGCGTGGATTTTTAAAGAATATTTCTTCACAGACCATCAGATACTGAGGCGTGGATTTTTTAAGAATATTTCTTCACAGACCATCAGCTTCATAGGCGTGGATTTTTAAAGAATATTTCTTCACAGACCATCAGCTTCATTGGCGTGGATTTTTAAAGAATATTTCTTCACAGACCATCAGCTTTATAGGCGTGGATTTTTAAAGAATATTTCTTCACAGACCATCAGCTTTATATGCGTGGATTTTTAAAGAATATTTCTTCACAGACCATCAGCTTTATAGGCGTGGATTTTTAAAGAATATTTCTTCACAGACCATCAGCTTTATAGGCGTGGATTTTTAAAGAATATTTCTTCACAGACCATCAGCTTTATATGCGTGGATTTTTAAAGAATATTTCTTCACAGATCATCAGATTTTTAAAGAATATTTCTTCACAGACCATCAGCTTTATAGGCGTGGATTTTTAAAGAATATTTCTTCACAGATCATCAGATTTTTAAAGAATATTTCTTCACAGACCATCAGCTTTATAGGCGTGGATTTTTAAAGAATATTTCTTCACAGATCATCAGATTTTTAAAGAATATTTCTTCACAGACCATCAGCTTTATAGGCGTGGATTTTTAAAGAATATTTCTTCACAGATCATCAGATTTTTAAAGAATATTTCTTCACAGACCATCAGCTTTATAGGCGTGGATTTTTAAAGAATATTTCTTCACAGATCATCAGATTTTTAAAGAATATTTCTTCACAGACCATCAGCTTTATAGGCGTGGATTTTTAAAGAATATTTCTTCACAGATCATCAGATTTTTAAAGAATATTTCTTCACAGACCATCAGCTTTATAGGCGTGGATTTTTAAAGAATATTTCTTCACAGATCATCAGATTTTTAAAGAATATTTCTTCACAGACCATCAGATTTTTCTTTAAAAATCCATGCCTATAAATCTGCTAACCCTTGAAGACATATTATTTTTATAAATCTTATAGGCCCCCACAAATTTGTTTTGAAAAAAATCACTTCAAATCTTATCAAATTACACCTACGTCAGTTCTTCTGCTCCCTATACGTATATATTTTTATATTGTGTAAATAATGGGTAGGGTTTGGTGAAAAGTTTCCAAACCCTAAAGTGTTTGCCAGTGGTTCTCAACAAATTACTCATAAAATGTCAGAAGAGATAAGATCGGTTAATTTGATACCCGCCATATAAATAAATTGTTTTTAAATTAATTGGCGAATAGTTTGAAGTGCCGTGTATAAAATATGCAGACATTTAACAAGTTTCCGATTGCCTTTCTTGTTTTATCCATTGGCGGATTGTTGCGATTATCATTAGCGGCCAATTGGTATACAACCTATGATGATCGTCGATATTACATAGAGGATTCACCTAAGGTATGTTTTATGGGTTATGCAGAGATTGCAGGGTGACTAATTTATAATTTTGATATTTCGTTAGTATAACTGGCTTCAAGCCCTCGATGAATGTTCCCGACGAGGTTTACAACTTTTTGTCATTGATGATCCCTCAAAAAATACAGCCTTAGTAAATTTTCTCAAATTATTGTATGGTAAGCGGACATTATTTTGTTGGCCCAAAAATATTTTCTATAATATTTTTAACATCTAGGAAAACCTCTTGATTTATGGATTGGTCATCATGATGAGTTCAACAACGATGCAAATCGCACCTGGTACTCGGCAGCTTCTGGAGGGGCCATAAATTATGGTAACTGGGCTAAAGGAGAACCAAATAATCGCTTTGGAGAACATTGCGTACAATTATATCGCAAATCGGATTTCCAATGGAATGATGAAGACTGCGATGATCATTATTTTGGTTATATTTGTGAGGAACACTTTTTAACTGGCAAATGTCACAAGGATTTGGAGCATATTTCTTCCATTGATAGCAGATTTATAGGCGTGGATTTTTAAAGAATATTTCTTCCATGGATAGCAGATTTATAGGCGTGGGTTTTTAAGGAATATTTCTTCCATTTTATAGGCGTGGATATTTTAGGAATATTTCTTCAAGGCATAGCAGATTTATAGGCGTGGATATTTTAAAGAATATTTCTTCCATTGATAGCAGATTTATAGTCGTGAATTTTTAAAGAATATTTCTTCCATTGATATCAGATTTATTGGCGTGGGTTTTTAAAGAATATTTCTTCCATTGATAGCAGATTTATTGGCGTGGATTTTTAAAGAATATTTCTCCTAAAATTTAGCAGATTTATAGGCGTGGATTTTTAAAGAATATTTCTTCCATTGATAGCAGATTTATAGGCGTGGATTTTTAAAGAATATTTCTTCCATTGATAGCAGATTTATAGGCGTGGATTTTTAAAGAATATTTCTTCCATTGATAGCAGATTTATAGGCGTGGATTTTTAAAGAATATTTCTTCCATTGATAGCAGATTTATAGGCGTGGATTTTTAAAGAATATTTCTTCCATTGATAGCAGATTTATAGGCGTGGATTTTTAAAGAATATTTCTTCCATTGATAGCAGATTTATAGGCGTGGATTTTTAAAGAATATTTCTTCCATTGATAGCAGATTTATAGGCGTGGATTTTTAAAGAATATTTCTTCAAGGGATAGCAGATTTATGGGCGTGGATTTTTAAAGAATATTTCTTCAAGTGATAGCAGATTTATTTCTAGAGACTTTAGCAGATTTATGGGCGTGGATTTTTAAAGAATATTTTTTCTCAAGTGATAGCAGATTTAGTTAAAAATCATTTTAAAGTATGAGCGGCAAATACAACATCCTTGTCGAATGGTATATTCTGTCAGTCATTCATCTATAAATACAACTACATCACAACATTCAATATATATGTATGTATACGTACCCATTATCGGGTTGATTGTATGGTCTCAAATAGAAGGGGCCTTTTGAAAGGTAAAGATGGATAAATATTATGGAGGGTTTTGGATGGTTCGCACCATAACGAACAAATGGTGCAATCGATGTGGTCAAAGCTTTTGAACATTGTTGTATTGGAACGAATTTTGAAGAAGAAAACTGCCGATCCAGTCTATCATAAAATCAACTTCGGAAAATATTGCTCAAAAACGTTCAATAAACTCTTCGGCAGCCTAAAACATATAATATTTGTAGTAGGCCGAAAGGAGTTATTTCCCAATTGGTCATACATCTCTTGAGAGGGCCACTTTTGAGGTATGATTGTGATATCCTCTTGCCGTCATATATATATATATATATGTTCGTATGAGTATCAAGCAGAGGTTTTGGTGGCAATGCAATATATAATCGTTATCTCTTAGACATCTATATATACATACACAACAATATATATGCATGTATGTATATTGCTGTCGTATCAGTGTCATTTTGTTGGTCATACAATGCAACATATTTCGGTAGGTTTATGTCCATCCATATAAATAAATGTGAGTGTATCTCTAAAATACATAATATCATAAATATATTTATGGAAGATGAAAACATTTGGGTTTGGGATCTGATGTGGTCAGGTTGACAAAAAATAAAATTTTAGACTACAAAATTGTGTTGTGGCAAAATACGACCTAAAGCAATTTTTCCTTTATGAAATCTAAAAAATAGTAAAAATTAGTAAATTATTGCAGTACGGAAACAGACCACATATAACCGAAGTTTAATTCCAAGTAATAACATTCTTACCAGTCACTTCATATTTTTTTTGTTTCGCCCTCCCAGGTCCTCCGAAAAATTTAAATCTCTTATTCCAAAATTTTTCGATCGGAACACATCATTGTTATTTTCCACCACGACAAATTTATGTGTGAAATTGTAAACATGAATATTGATGTTCAGACATAAGAATAACGTTTCTCCTACTCCAACCATCGAACCAATGTTCGTCTGTTCGTTCAATGTCCCACATTGAAGTGTTGTCAACATTTTGACATCAATCATTGTTAACTAAAACTAATTCAGGGTAAAAATGTAAGCATCAACCATGCATTACAACATAATAACTACTATTATTACCGAAGTGGCATACCTTTGGCACAAATATGTAATGAAAAAAAAAAAATATTATTCAAAATCATATCGATGGTATCGAAAAAGTCTCGGCAAAAAAGTTTTACCCTTTATTATATACTAGCATATGCCCGCTACATCGTTAGCAAATGTGGAAAATATTAAAACGAGCTTTAACATATTTTATTTTCACAGAAAACTGCAAATCTCAGAAAATCTAAGCAATCCACACATTAATATCCACTATAAATTAAATTTGAGTACAATTTAGTACCAAATTTCATAATTCGGGCACTAAAGGTTCACCCAAATACAAATTTTAATAAATTTTGTTCCACACACATTCATTATTTCCATAAGTACCCACCTCAACTATCCAACAAAAAGGTCCCTAATGTTCTATGGGTCACATTAGATAGCTTCTACAGGTCGTCGGCGCATGACACAGCAGGAGCAGGAACAAGGAACAATAAGAAGAAATCTTTTCAACAACATATACAGCAATTTGCGGCTCCTGGGTGTTCCGCTAACGTTAGTACAACGCAATGCAAAAATTTCCAATCCTGCCAGAATGTCAGGGTTTCTCCACGGTTGACAATATCTGCCCGGCATGTGGTAATGGTCCACATGACATGCTCCACCTCTTCGACTGCCCAGCCAAACCCACTCATCTAACCTTTTTTAAGCTGGAATTAGAAGCAGAACCAAATTAAAGAGCAAATACACAGTAGTATAAGCTGCTACAACAACAACCAATTTTTCGTAGAATTATTTGCTACTTAACGAGAACCCAATTCGGTTAATAACTAATAACTAATATTCGTGGGTGAAACGACATATCATGTTTCAGGGCTAAACTTCCTAGGTGTAGTAGCAATGTATGTGGTGTATAATTTAATAGCTCTATTGTGATTTCAACATACGGACATGGCTAAATCGATGTAGATTATTCAGAAAATATTAGGTTGGGGAAAAAGAGATCCATTTTTTTCTGCAGATGGCTGTACTGAAAGATTTCTCCCTAAGTATCGACCAAACAATTTCAGATTTTGGTTGTTGGAAGGGTGACATTTCACAGTAAAAAAAAAAATACTTTGCTGTTTATACCCTTCCGACTAGACGTCTACAAATAATACTATTATTCAGTACAGCTCTTCTAATTACTTGTCCAGATCCCCTTCACCGTGGGTTGTTTTGTGATGTCCGGCTTTCAATAGTGGCCTATAAATCGACTCATAAAAAAACACAAAAATTAAGTTTTCGGGTCACTTCATCCAAATATTATTATCTGATCATCACCGAAAATTATAGGCGTTGTCCATGACCATACCTAGATCCTCATGGAAAATTTCAAAGCGATCCGCGATATATTTCCGCCCTCTAGTGTGGTAATGTGTTACTAAATAATATATGAATACGTAAGGACCTGTAAATATTTAAGTGTAACTCCCACATCCGAGTACACACGACAATGCAATTGGTATCAATGTAAAGGTAAACCACTCCTCTTGGATATACTATCAACTTCTCGGGTCTATGTCCTTCAGGAGTAAACATATACGACATAGAATAAAAATTGTGTCATTTTCCACACAAAAGTCTGGGTCCATTTGACTCGCTAAATATCGGCCAATCTTTATCAAAAAAGGCATGCTAATTCTTTGGCCCAATCCCCTTCTCCATGCAAAAATTCGCGGTATTTGGATCATAATTGCGGCCTCTGGAGCGATCAGAAAAACCGACAAAAATAAAGTTTTTGGTCCATTTCATGTGTTACTAAATAATATATGAATACGTAAGGACCTGTAAATATTTAAGTGTAACTCCCACATCCGAGTACACACGACAATGCAATTGGTATCAATGTAAAGGTAAACCACTCCTCTTGGATATACTATCAACTTCTCGGGCCTATGTCCTTCAGGAGTAAATATATACGCCATAGAATAAAAATTTTGTCATTTTCCACACAAAAGTCTGGGTCCATTTAACCCGCTAAATATCGGCCAATCCATGCAAAAATTCGCGGTATTTGGATCATAATTGCGGCCTTTGGTGCGACCAGAAAAACCGACAAAAATAAAGTTTTTGGTCCATTTCATCCCCTAAATATTAACCGATAACCAAAAACAATAGAGGTCTTCATTAGCCAGAATTCATCCAACATGCAAAATTTCGTGAAGATTGGTTCATAACTGTGGCCTGTATCGTGTTTACAAAATATAATGGACAGACGGACGGACGGACACACATGTCTAGTTCGACTCCGCTAGTCGAGATATGACGATCGGTATGCTTAAAGGTGGGTCTAGGACCAATATTTCGCGGCGTTACAAACATTTGGGGCTGCACAAAGCTATAATACCCTGACAACATAGTTGTGTAGGGTATAAAAATACCTTGCTGTTTATACCCTTCACCACACTGTGGTACAGGGTATTATGTATTTGTGCATATGTTTGTAACAGGCAAAAGGAATCGAGACAGACCCATGGTTACTTTTGAGAGTATGCATAGAATTACTTTCTGAGTCGATTTACGCATGCCCGTCCTTCCATTTTTTTGCGATCAACGTACAGGTCGCATTTATGATCCGATTTGGATCAAATTTGGCACAGTTCATTTATTTGGCCCAAGGACGCACCCTATTGAAATTGGAGAAAACCGGTTTAGATTTAGATATAGTTCCCATTTATAGATTTATTCAATTTTTTGTGAATGATACACCAAAATCCCAATATTTGTTCGATTGGGACATGGCGCTGGGAGCTAGATATAGCTCCCATATATGGTTCCGTCCGATTTTTTGTGAATAATTAAATTAGGTCCATGTGTTTATATATAGATCCCATCCAGCATTTTACTCGATTTAATACAAAATAGTACACCATAGAATCCAAGTCTGCCCGTTTGACATGCAATTTTTCATTGATTTC